TTTTCACTTTATGGTAATTTGTTTTGTGATCATTTGTTGTTTACTGTTTTTTTTCCTGTTTATTCAAACTATCATTGCCGCATAGTTATTTATGCTTCGTGGTTTCTGTTTACCAAAAATGTAGATAAGACAGTAAGACTGATAATGAAGACAAAAATAACAGTGATGGTAGTTATAATAACATTAGTAATAATAACAACATTAATAATAATAATAATAATAATAATAATAATAATAAGGATGTTAAGATAAAGATGTGTTAATAGGTGCTAAAAGCGGTAATCATTACAGTGTATAAAAAAATTTGCATATCGACTACCGACAGAATAATTAAAAAATGCTGTTTAAGTTTACCTTATCAAAAAAAGAAATGTTTTTATATTACTGTTCAAAGATCATTTCTTTTTTGTGCCCTTTCTGTTGCTTCTTCAGTTATTTTTGATTGTTATTTTAAGATTTATTGATATTTTGTTATGTTAAACTTTTCAGTCACTTATATTTTTCTTTCTTCTCTTATGACAGAAAAAAAAAGGACGATTTAGTCTCTAAAGTTTCTTATGCTCTTTTCTACTTTTTTTTTTCTTGTTTTTTTTTATTCAACTGATATTTACCAATTCTAGATGATTATTTGAGTAAACGGTTAAGCACATATAAACAACACTGTTAAACGATACGATATCATTTGGTTTTAATATTAGATCAATATGCTTTCTCTCTTGAAGAATTTAACATTAGGCAGATTATTGTTAACTGAAAAAAAGAAAAGTGAAAGGACAAAAAAATTCTGTTCATAAAGAAGGAGAAGAAGACGACAGAAAAGAAAGAAAAGAATATAATATTACCGCAGCAGTTTAGATGCATTCATTCAATGTTTAGATAAGTAAGGTCTTTTTTTCCTGCAACTTAGATCTTTGTTAGAATATGAGATTAGTTTAGTGGAATGGCTATAAAAAGTCAGTATGCCTTTTCGTGATGGAGTTTTTGACGGGGCAAAATTTTTATTTATTAGCTTAGATGTGCGGTGTTCTATGAAGTTATGGGTTCTGAACTTTATCAGTCAATCAGAAAAAAAAAAAGAAATGGAATGAGTCAATATGCATATATTCTTACTTTGTGGGAAGAAAATAGAAAAGATGGAAATAGATGAAATTTAAGGGTTTTTTTCATTAAAGCTTGATTTTTCTATTTTAAGTGACAAAACTGACAATAGAAGTCTGCACTTTTCAAGGGCGATCAAGTTTTTAACAGGAAGAATCAGCAGATTTGAGTTATGTGACTGATTTGACACTATACACCTCATATTTTTCCTTGCAGTTCCCCATACATGGACTTAGGTTTATCCTGTCTTTTTGATGTATTTTCGTATCAGAGCTTAATTTGTCAGTTAACTGGTTGTTTTTCTGGTTTTGGTGCAAGGACGGGTAGAAATGAGAGGACACACCTGTTACTTGCAAGTGGTGTGTATTATGAGCCTGAATAGTTTAAGAACTTTGTTACTTTATCAGTCTGATGCAGCTGAATTTCTGATTATTCGTCTTCTACGTGCTTAAAAAGTAGGTTAGATAGCTGTCAGTTTATTTTTGAGGACATTTACAGAAGCAAAAAATGAGAGGGAAAGTTGAAATTTGTGACATTTTCCGTTTTTTTTTTTTGTGTATCTTGACCGGCTGGGAAACGGTAGGGCATTACGGAGAGATCTAAGAACATATTTGATAGTTATGCATAATATTGACTCAAAACTGATCAATTAAAGTGATTTTGTTAGGGAATTATTTGGTATTTGATCCGTAACCGATTTTTCCAACTCAAATTTAATTGATTAGAAGATTAGTTTTTGATCATATCAGTTGGTTGAAACAAAGATTTTTCCGCTTTTCAATGGCGCAACGAATTTTATTGAACATTTATGAGAAGTTTTAATCTTTTTTCTTTTTTATTTCTCAATATTTTTATACGCTTGTAATGCTTTTTTGATGCGCTTTTCTGTTTACCTCTTCAAAATTAGCTTCTTTATTCGAGCAGCTTTCTTGTTCTTTTGTTGTATTTATTTTTTTTAAGAAAACAGGGTTTTTTCTTTAGTTCAGAAACATAACATTTGAATGGTTGTATTCTACTTGAAAATCAATTAGTGCTTGATAATAGCTGTTTTTAATTTGTTAGACAAATTTTTTTTCTGTTAAAGGTAGTTGAAAGCAGTGGCGTAGCTGGGGCTGAAAAAAGAAATTTTCCGATCAATGACAACGATATTGTTGCATCTGGTGTGTCTCCCGATGATGAAGATGGAGACGTTGACGACGGATCAGGGTCTCCGAGCGGTACAGTTTTTCGTTTATTTAATTTAATTTTTTTTTAAGATCGGAATTGCTTACTTTATTCTTCAAAAGGAGCGCTCTTTTATATTTTGTTGTCGTAAAGAGAGATTAACTGGAAACGGTTGCTGGATAGATGTTGACTTTGCAGATGAGCTTGAAGGTTCCGGAAGAGGAATTGTCAAGGGCAATATTTCGCTCGTCACCTCACCGCCGGCACATGCCACTTCAGCCAGTATTTTGAACGAAGTTAATATTTACTGGCCTTATTGGGTTAAACAGTGGAGGGTTATTTTCTAGCAGTTTGGATCTAATTTTGTGGCTGTTTTGCTGTAGTCAGATTTCTCTATTACAACGGTGTTTACATTAGTTTTTTGTTATGCTAATTGTTGCACTTTTTTCTTAGGGATGCGAAAAAGGCTTAATACACTTGGATGAATTTGCTTTAAGAACAAAAAAAAAAAAACTTGATTTTCTCATTCGGATAACTATCAGCAAGACATGTAGCTTCTTTAGAGACGACGAAAACAATTTGCTTACAAGTTTTGTTACTGTTGGATGGGAAAGGCAAGAAAAAAAAGCTTTTTGCGTGGTTTCATTTTTTTGAAGGGCATTGTGCGTTATTATGACTGTTAGTCATCTTTCTATTCCAAAAATGTGTTTTAGTAGTATTTCAAAATGTCCACGTTATATCAATAATAGCTTTACTGGTTGAAAAGTTTAATTGGAAGTAAAAGTTTTTTGGTGAGGAATGCAGAGAAAGGGAGAAAGAAGGAGGTCAACAAATGACTTCTGCGACGTTTAATTTTGATGAGTCATTCATTGCATTTGGAAAATCCAATTATAGGCATAACTCATTCATTATTAATGGGCTATTCAATAAGTTTACCTCATTATTGGTTGTGTTTAGGCTTTTAATACTTTTACTTAATTACATTTTCACTCACTAGTTTGTTTAGTTTACTGATGGCCAAAAGTCATATTTTTTTCTTTCTTGTTCTTCATTTTTTTTTTTTCATAGCAATTGCTAAATTGTTGTCTAAGCGAGTGAAATATGGGAAACTATGAAGCAACAGTACATGATGCAATTTAAGAACAATAATTTATAAGGGATTGAACAGCTTTACTTCTGTTTGAAACGTTTTTTCAAAATAGATTTTTTTTGGTTAATACCACTGATGACAGCACTTCCCGGAACCAAAATAAAGGAATGCATCATTTTTTTCGTTGAAGTATCTCAAAAATTTTTGAATGATGAGATATCTTTTTTCAGGCTGGTCATGCTCCAAGCAAAAAGCCTTTTGAAAAGGGACCTTCTGGAAAGCCAGTTGAAGAAACAAATAGAAAGGTGGACGATGATCAGCGCTATCATCTTCCAGAAGGAGGTCGTCCTGATTCTAGGCTGATAGATGATCAGCATAATATATTAATTGAAGATTCTTCAACGCTTCGTACGGCGCCGCCGTTTAAACCATCACCTGCTGTATATGCCACAAGTTCAGCACCACCACCAGCTGTTGAAGAAGAACACCGAGTCTACTTGGGTACCTTGTTCAAACCAGGTATTCTAGCAGGTATGATAGTTTCGACAAGATATTATTTTGAATTTACTTTTATAAATTTTTACGAAGAAAGTAGTAATTCAAGGAGTCATATTGATATGAATTTTTGTACTTTTCTCTTTTTACGTGTTTCATAGATGTTCTTGAAAGATTTTTAGTGTAGCTGTTGAAGTTCTTTTAATCAGAAAGAGATGGTTGTTGTAGTACTAAGATTGATGATAACTATTAAGAAAAAACGAAGGGGATAGTAAAGTAGCTAGTGTTGAATTGCAGAAGTTCAAAGAAAGACCTTTTGATAGAAAATGTGAAAGGTTTTTTTGTTTCTATTTTTTCGTAATCTATCTTTTTTTCTCTGATTTTACATATATATATTTTTTTCTATTGGAAAAATCAGTACAGCAAAGGAGATTTTTTAATTGAGTTGGGGATGGTGCACATCTGTTCGGTGCATTTTGGTTTGCTAGAAGTGTCTGTTCAAATTATTTATCCTGTAGACAAGTCGTGTTGCGGAATGAAATGGTACGCTGGGGAGGAAGCGGAGGACATGCGATGAGGGTTCAGGCCGCATGAACCTCATAGAGGGAAAGCAAAAGCGGATGAGGCGAAATTTTAGTTATTAACGCAACAAAGGGACAGAATGCATGCTGACAACAGAAAGCCGTTAATTCTCTTGTTGAAGTGCCTCAGCTGGACAGCAGTAAAATAGGGAAGGCGACAAAAGGATGGATGATATATCCGCTGATGATGCAAAGTCATCCAATGAGTCTGACCAGCTTTTCATTTGGTTTCACTTTGGACTATAATTTACAACCATCATCTAACACTAACGGCATGACTATCATCATTGTTACAGTATCAGTAGCAGACAGATAAATACTGGAACTTCCGCTATATGTCATGTCGATTCTTCTCCTAAACATGCTTTAGAAGATTTGATGACAGTTGAGGACGGGGCTGAATGAAGAGATAGGTGGTGTTGTTGTTGTGCGTGACAGTGCTGGTTGGTTCGATGTTTGAAGCGTTGAAGAGCGAGCAGTACAGGCGGATTCCTCTTCTTTGATTTTTCTTTCTTTCTGTGAATGATAATAGTATTCTGTTCACAGAGGGTATTGAAAAAAATGAAAAAAAATAAGAAGGGGTTATAAAGAGAATCCGATATGAATTCATGAATGAATGGAGGAGTAGGTTTTTTTCTTTATAACAAATAATGATGAATCTGTAATGTGGTCACTGACATACCAAATATATGCAGCTTGAACAGGTTTTTCTTGACAGTCATTGAACTTCAAATCAAAGGAATCTTCTTACAGTTTTGAAGAGCAAATATCAACATCAGACAGAAAAGAAATGTTTGTTTTTCTGATGCCAACCAGCAAAAAAAAAAAAAAAAAA